ACATTCAGCAGGGCTGTGGAGGTACACTGTCTGCACATTGTTCTTTTTTTTTGTTTTAATTTTTATTATTATTATTTTTTTTTTTTGGTGGAACCGGGGATTGAACTTAGACCCTTGCGCCAGGGAAGTGCTTATTCTACTGAGCCATTTCCCTGGCCCATGTTATTGTTCTTTTTTTTTTTGCTCAGAATGCCCTCAGGGCTGGTTGGGATTGAACTACAGCAGCCTGAGGCTGACAGCTTCCTGGAAGCAGCCACTTAAAGAACTGAGCTAGGGCCAGGCCCCCTACACTATTGTTCTTAATCTTGAGAATCTGTCCTACCTGCAGGTGGATTCCTCCCTGGGCAGAGCTGGGAACACATTTTTTCTTTCTGCTAACCAAGGATGACCCAGCATCCCAGGCAGTAAATTGAAAAGGCAGCAATAGAAAATACAAAGGAGATTTCTGATCTTAGATTAGAGAAACTCTTCCTCTTAAGGGTCAAACCTCTTAGTGACCTGAATTTAAAGAGCTCAGGGGTCTGCTTCTTTTCTCCTCTGAAGTCCTTGTAGGATGACCCTGTCTTGTGTGGAACTGAGTATTGGTGTGTAGTCACCTGTATTGTCGAGGTGTGTTTTAGAAGCTGGATCCTGGACAGGAGACACCCAGGGTGTGTGTGTGTGTGTGTGTGTGTGTGTGTGTGTGAGTGATGGAGGGACACTGGAATTTTATCTAAGGGCCATCTGTGGCACTCCTCCTGTGGCCCTTCTCTTCCCACTTTCTTCACCCTGCAGAGGGCACAGTGGCTTCTCATCCCTTCAGGATCCAGACCCAGCCTCGCATGGTTTGATCCCTTCCTCCATTCCACCTCTCTGTCCTGTCTCACCCTGTTAGCAGAAACTCCAAGAGCTTGGGGTACACCGATGAATGTCAATTCTGTATCTGTGTATTCAAAGTGGTTGGCGTAGATATATAGTTGCATTGTCTTAATGACTGAATGATTTGTTCTAATGGTGTTTGTAAATAGGATCACAAGTCCGCATCTTGTACAGCAATTAACCACTAAGAAGAATATATGCAGTGTATTATTTGTTGAAACTGTACTTCCGATTTGATTTGAAACTGTCTCATTGCTATATGTTTATCAATAAAACTGTAGGAAAAAAAAAAAAAAAAAAGAAACTCCAAGAGCAGATCTGGGTACATGGCCACAGGACTGCCTGGGCCAGTGGCAAAGGAATGGCCAGCTTGGGGGAAGCCTGTTTAGACTGAGTTAAATGGGCTCACTTTCCACAGGACTTGTCAGAACCTTTCCTAAGCCAGCATGCGTATGAAAAGGCGTGGTAGGTGGTACCCAGCCCTCCAGCGCCTACGTCGTAGGAAACGCTTTGTGCTTCTGGCTGACAACTCAAACAAGGGGGAAAGAACTGCTGGCAAGATCGTTAGACAGCTGAGCAAAATAAATTTACAGCATCTTTTTCAAAATGCAAGGGAGGGAGGGTTTGCATCAAAAGATGGCAATAATAGCAGAGCCCCTGATAGCGTCATAAACCTGCCAGTCTTTGCCATTTTCTTTTGTTTGAGGGAGAGAGGAGAAGTGAGGCCTCGCTGGGTTCAGGATGTTGTTGCTCCCTGACCCTACTTTCCCGGTAATTAATCACTAGCTCTGCCTCGGGGGATTTTCCAGAGCCAACCCTCTGGCATCATATTGTGGCGTCTTGACATCCCCTTTAATGACTGTAAGTGGGAGACTCCAGCAGATGCATGTGTCCCCTGGGTGTGGGGGCAACACACCGAGACTAGAGGGGACCCTGTAGGCTGGGGTAGGGGTACCCCCTCTGCTGCTGCAAAAGGTAGTTGTCATGGCTGCTTCAACAAGGAGAGTTAATTACAGAAAATGTCAGGCTTTTAAAGGGTCATTTGTCACCTGGTTTGGGGAAGAACAGCAACCTTTAGCAGAGTCCCGGAGAAAGGCCTGGGCCTGTTCCTGGTGGAGGGATACAGTGAGCCTTTACTGTGTCACCCGGCAGGCCTCATGAAGAACTTGGCTTTCAAGGACACAGGCAGAGTAGTGGTGGCTTGGAGGAGCTGGGACCAGTGGCTTTGGAATGCTTTTCTTTTTGTTTAGAAAATGGGACAAATGATCTGGGAGAGTTTTTATTTTTCCTCCAAAGCTGGACAAACTCTAATTCTGTAGTGTAGTTAGTTACTCAAGGATGACAGGGCTGGGGAGAGATTGAAATGGGGACAGCGCTGGAAGGGCTTAGATTCTCATTAAACCTCTTTAAGCTGTTTATTCAGAACACATGTGGCTCAAGGTGGCTGTGGCCACCCGTGGGCTGGATGTGCTTTTGCTGCCAGTTCTTCTGAAAGGCAGGGAGGTGGAGGTGGGCGAGTGGCTATTATGCTGTGCCTGGCACCTGCATTTTAGCCAGCACCCCAGCGGGTTTGGGGGCAGTGGAAACTGATAAGGCCAGAGAGCGGGGTGGCCACTCCCAGGCAAGGGCTCAGGGAGTTTGTGTAGTTTTTAAGCTTGCCTAAGGGCCCCTGGGATGTGTGGTGGCTGTGGTGTCCTGGAGCCTGGGCATCCATGGGTGACTCTCACACAGCCCAGGCAAAGAACTCAGGCACCACTAAGGAGATGTGGAGGTTCAGTGCATGTGCAAAGTCAGAGCCCAGCATGCCACACGGGGTGAGCAGGGCATGACATCCTTCCCAAGCTGTCCAAAGTCCAGGATCCACTGATCTTGCTGGCTCAGTCCCTGGGTCACAGAGGAACAGGTGATGATGCAGGGTGTGGTGGCCTTCCCAGCTGTGCCTGAGCCTGCTTAAAATTATGCCATCCTCCTGCAGGGGTGTGAAAGAGCCAGGCTGGTCTTGAACTCACAGCCATCCTCCTGCTTCAGTCTCCTACATGTTGGGATTGCAGTTGTGCACTTCCATGCCTGGCTTGCTCTTTGCATCTTTGACTGCTACCAGAGACAGCAGTAAATTATAAGGAAGACCCCACACACGCTTCCTGTAAAGCCCTGTGCAGGGGCTTCCACCGTGGGCACAGGGAAGATGCATTCCAGAGCCACTCTCCAGGGCCTGGTTGTCTGACATGCATGGAAGCGCCAGCCCCACCAGCCTTCCTCGCTTTACAGGGGCCCTGTATCCTGGACTAATCCCTGCCCTCCTCTCAGGCCACGCCTCCTTGTGCTTTCTGCTCATTGTACCGTGTCCCTCTCTGACCAGCCACCACGTACCACGTCTCAGGTGGACTCTCGGAGTCTGTGGGTCTCCCTGCTAGCCTCCAGGCCCTGAGGACGAGACTGTGTGCGGTGTCTGCTGTGCTGACACCTGGCCTCTGGGGTGCATGAGTGGATGCTTCTTTTAGTGGTAAGCTTTTAGGTCGTCCTGCCTTCCACACGTGAGCTCCTGCACCCCTGCTGCTGTCTGAGAGGAGCATGGGGCCAGCTTGCCTTCCACTGCCTGCTCTACCCTGCCTTTATCTGCCCAGGAAAAACTGCCAACCATTTCTGCCAGATGTATGTGTCTGGGGCTGGGGAGATAGCTCAGTGGCACAAGCACCTGCCTGGCAAGTGCAGGTTGCTGAGTTTGATCCCTTGTACCAAAAAACAAACAAAACCACCAACAACAAATGTATATATCTAATGCAATGACACCCCAGCCTTTGTGAGATCCCCCACCTACTTAGGGCACTCAATGTCCTTTGAAAAATTCAAGCAAGGCCAGCGAAACCAATAGAGCGGAGTGCATGTAGCCAGGTAATTATTAGTCTGTGCACTTTATGCTTTAAATCTGTCATCTGTTGTAGAAACCATGAACGAGTGCAGCGCAGGTGTTTCGGTTTCATCTGGAGTACACACAGGCTCTGTCAGTTCGCCTCGTTGTTCCCTGGCTAGGAGTCTTTCCCATCCTTTCCCACGCTGTATAAAGTGGCACAGAAACTGTGGCTGGGGGCTGTGAAGTAGCAGAAAGAAGAGTTCTGGGGTACGAGGATATAGTTTGCATTTTTTAAATGTACTTCTTTTGTATCAGGCTCACAGCGTGGTGTCGTAGTACATCGTCCCTGGCTTGAACGCCCATGGAGCGTGCCTGACTGTCCCCTTGGGCTGCTTGGACCTCTGGTGGCACAAATGGAACCAGTCACTTTTATTAGTTGGTTTTGCTGATAAAATGAATGCAAAGTGGCCTGATAGGACAGCCGCGCATGGGTCACCGGTTGGTGGTGCAAGCTGCCCAGCAGCAGGACAGGAATTTCGGTCCCATCATGAATGTGTTAGTCAGTGTCATGAAAAGTGGAGAAACACTGTTGTCCATCAGCAGAGACTGTTGAGCCAAGCAAAGTGGGCCAGTTCAAGAGTCTTCACTGTTTTATTTTTATTTTCATCAGCACACTTTGGCAGTAGGTCGTGCTCACGCTCACTGTGCACAGCTGGTGCGTGTGGTAACACTCTTGACTTCTTGGATGTCCCTGCCCCCTGCCCGCCTCCCTTTCTTGGGGCACAGCACACTGCTGTGGTCATGTGTAGTGACCACACTGGGAAGGCTGTAGGTGAAACAGGAAGTCGCAAAGGTGCGAAGTCGCAAGCGACTCGACACTGAAGGCCTGCAAGAGCCGTGTCCTGCCCCTCTGGCCTCAGCGTCCTGTCTGCTCCCCCTGGAGGGTGGAGCTTTGGCGTCGCAGATGGGAGTGGTGGTGCTGGGATTGGAACCAGTGCTGGCCCTCCCAACGTGGTGCTTTGCAGTGTCTAGGAGGGATGGGGGCAGAGGCGTGGGGGCAGAGCCGGGACACCGGGGGAGGGGGAGTTCGGGCCCTTTGCTGAGGATGTTGCTTATGAGCCAGGTAAACTACAGGTACTAAGTTAAATTTCAACTTCAGAAAATAACAAATAGCTGTTTTAGTATATCTCATGCAGTATTTGGGCCATACACTGAATAATTGTTTACCTGAAATTTAGACATAACTAGGTGTCCCATATTTTTCCTTATTTACTCTGGCATTTCTACGTGGGGACCCCAGGGAACACTGGGCCTAATGAGTGAGCCCCAGAGGGTGGCCCTGAAGTTACCCCACAATGGCAAAGACAGCTTGGCAGGTGTGAGTGCCCCATCACAGGAAGTGTTCAGACGAGGCTGGAGAACCACTTTGTAGGTGCTCTGGGGTGAGTACAAGTTTCAGACAATGGGTTCCAGTGAGATTCTAGAAGAAGGAGAGTTGTTGCTCTGGTCCTCACTGAGTTAAGAAACTGTCTTTAGGGTCATCTGCCATCAGCACCACAGGGAGGACAGCTATCCTGCCCAGGTGGGCTGGCCAACCTCAGTCACCCAGGATGGCCAGCTCAGCCCAGGGGTGTCTTTAGCCACATGGCCTGACTTGAGAAGCACCGTGTCAGCAGACGTACACTTTTGACTCTTGCCAGGATTCAATGGTGACTCTGCTTCCTTCCCTGTCCCCTGCAGCTGCTGTGGAGAGCGATTTCTGCGATGGGCTGAGGACCGACTGGCGTGCCCACATCATTCCTGGGCAGGAAGAACATGAGAAGCTCCCAAACCACAGCTCTGCCCAGGCCCACATAGGCAAATGAACAGTGGTGAGAAGCGCAGGAGTTTCCTTCCCTACTTTTTATTCTTTGTACTGGGAATTGAATCCAGGTCCTTGACATTGAGCTACCGTCTTAGCTCTGTTTTTTTCCCTTTAGGACAGGGTCTCAGTAAGTCTCTATGTTGCCAGGGAGGGGCTTGACCTTGCAATCCTCTTGTCTAAGCATCCAGAATTGCCAGGTCACAGATGGGTGTCACCACGCCTGACTGCTTCTTTTAGATTCTGTGGGAATACCAGGCAGCCAGTGGGGGGGTCTTTTTTTTTTTTTTTTTTTTTTTTTTGCAGAACCAGGGATTGAACTCAGGCCCTTGTGCTTGCCAGGCAAGCGCTTATTCTACTGAGCCATCTCCCCGGGCCCCAGTGAGGGTCTTAATCAGCATTTCCTCAATGGGAATTCTGCCCTCTGTGACTTACCTCCAGTGAAGATCTAGTCTTTAGCTGGTCTTCCCCAGCTGTCCACTTGCCTCTGGGGCCATTTAGTGGCTCTGGCCTGGGCCAGAGGAGAACCAAGAGGCAAATGTTTGAGAAAAAACATCCCATCCTATGTTCCAGAAACAAACAGGCATGGCCTTCTCTCATGATCCCCCCTCCAGTGAGATGCTTCAACTTTCATCTAGTGCTGAATGAATCCTGCAGTATTATTAATGAAATACGAAATTAAACACCAAGCCAAAATACCCACTGGGGCAAAGGAAAGACAATGCAAGCAAGCATTTGTGTTGATTCTGCTGATTGAATTCCTCTGTTCTGTTACCTTTTGCTAAAGTGATTTGCTTGTCAGCAGCAGCAGAGGTGTCTTGCTTGTGTTTTCCAGGAAGAGTTGTTGGATGGCCGACGTGTGACAACATGCACCACCAGTGGCTTCTGTTGGCCGCATGCTTTTGGGTGATTTTCATGTTTATGGTGGCGAGCAAGTTCATCACGCTGACCTTTAAAGATCCAGATGGTAGGTGTGCTTCCTGTGGCAAGGGACTCTGGGTAATGGAGTCCTGACTGCAGTGCTGCTCCCAGGCACAAGTGACAGTGGTCCCAGACCCAAAGGAGGTGCATGCCTTACAGAGGTACCAGAAGGTCATGAATACCTTGCAGCTGGGTGTAGTGTAGCTCCTGGTTTGGAAATTTGCTCTGCCTCTAGTTGAGAGACATGGCCATGGTCACTCAGCATGCCTGTACACCAGATGGCGTCCCACCTTGGTGGCACATCTTTGAAGTTCACCTTCAGTCAGTGCTATGGAGGGAGGTTCATTTACATATGTGTTGTCTGGTTCCCTTAGATGATTGTCGGCTACTTTACTGTCTGGGCATTGAGGTGCAGAGTATAAAGAGCAGCAGGCGGGGTCTTCATGAGCTGCTTCTACCTCACGCTGCTGTCCCTTGCTTATCTCGGTTGTGATACCCTTTCTATGACATCAGCAGCCTCTGCTCTGATGGCTTCCTGGGGGCCTGACACAGACAGGCTGGGTGTGGGCCAGGTAGGGGATGGTGCCAGCCCTATTTCCGGGGCCAGGTGGATAGGGTGAGCATCATGGGGACATGGAGGGACATTTGCAGGTGGAGACTAGCTGGGTGCTTCAGCCTGGGAGGCAGATCCTGGGGCCACATGGGGTGTCTCTGCCCTGTGTGGTGCTTTTTAAAAGTAATTTTATTCGTATGGGTCCATAGTCATGTATGATTGCATAGCCATGTTGCACGATGGTCATGTGCAGCGGGGCGCTGGCGCGCGAACGGAGCACATCTGGAGTCTTTGTCTTCTGCTCTCCAGCTTTCCCTCCAGCTCTCGCGCCCCTTGCCATTTTCAAGTCCCTCTTCCTATTTCCTATTCTATTTTATTCTTCATTTATGCTTTGGACTTTTCACGTAAGAGAAACTACGCAATATTGAAGCTTGTGTATCTGACGTATTTCACTTAATGTGCTCCCAGTGTGCGTCCTGCCACTGACTCAGGCCTGCCATTGGAGGCGTAGTAGTACTCCGTGGTGTGTAAGTACCATTTTCTAATCCATTCATCTGCCCGTGGACCTAACGGCTGCTTATAAGGTTTCACTATTATGAGTTCTGCCGCCGGAAGCCTGAGCATCCAGGGGTCGCTGTACTGTGTCTTTCTGCAAGGGAGTGCTGCTGTCCTCCTGCTGACCCTGCCTAGTAAGTGTGACTAGATGTCCTATGCCATGTGTCCCCACCGTGCCACTGCACTGGCTGTGTGACCTGCGAGCTGCAGACTCCTGCTACATACTCGCGATGGCTCGCTATTGGGCACGCGGCTCTGGTGGCCTGCCAGGCCGTCACTGCGAGTCTTTCTGTTGTCTTCCAGGAGGCCTTGGGGGGAAACCTTGTGATTTGCAACCCCCAGAAGCAGAATTGCACCTGCTGTCTGGGGCAGCCAGGGCGCTGAGCTCACGGTGGAGACCAGGGGCTCCATGGAAAGAGCCAGGGTGGGGTCTTGGGGAGTGGTGGTGGGATTTTTGCTGTGACCTCAGCATAGTTACATGCCACCTGGAGTGACCACCCTTGTTAAGACAGCGGTCCTCACTGTGGGGGCTCTTTGGTGTCTCCTGTGGGGGCATGGCAGGCCCTCTGCTGCTGGGGACCAAGTGCACTGGAATCTGCAGGAGAGGGCCAGGTGATGCGAACAGCTAGAACACAGCCAGGACTTCAGGAGACAAGGTGGTGCTGAGAATCGCAGCACACATTCATCGTGACTCCCCAAATGTCACCTTCTGGGAGGGAAGTCACCATCCTCCTAAGACTACATCATTTGCAGTTTATTTCATTTGAAAAATAGGGGTGTATGGAATACATTTTAGCAAGACTTCTATCTGCAGAAGTTAAGTGAGGCAGACATGGTGACATTCACCTGTAGTCCAGGCTGCTCAGGAGGCAGAGGCTGGAGGGTCGCTTGAACCCTTGAGTTCAAGACCAGCCTGGGTAGCAAACTTTGTTGCCCATTGCAAGACCCTGCCTCAGAAAAAAATAAAAATAGTTGAATAAGGTGTGTGCTCTTGGTCTTTACTATTTTCCAGCAGGAATGGTTTTAAATGGGCCTGATGAATTAGGTAGGTTCTGCCAAGCGTTCTGCTGCATGTTTTCAGACAGGTGCAGGTGCCTGAGGAGGCTTTGGAAAAGTGAGGGAGAGCTTAGGCAGCACCACGGCTAAAGCAGCGCCGCAGGCCAAAGGGCTGTGCGGTTTCAGTCTGGAGGGAAGGTCTGCAAGCTTTCTAGGCTCCTCCTACCTGCATTTCCACCAGTCGGCCTCAGCGCTAGGAGGCCCTTCCTGCACCCTCTGACATGTGGAGTGGCTGTGTGGCCTGGGTGGCATTGGGGCTGGTGCATAGCTGACCCTGTCCCCTTTTTTCCAGAGTGGGGTCAGGCGGGGATGCCGTGGCCCTGCAGTGTGTGGGGAGCTCAGAATGAGCGAGGCCCTTTGCCCTTGGGTTGCTGAAGCCGCTGTGTGGTCGCCACACAGTGGTGTATCTGGCCTGTCCCATGGGATCTTACTCGCCATCCCAAGTAGCTGGTAGTGTCACAGAGCATGATGTCCCTTGGCTTATTGGATGCAGAGAGCCAGCTCATATGACATCTGGCAGGTCTGGGTGACAAGTCCAGAATGAAGCAGCCAAAGGCTGTTGTCACACAGTCTGTGCCCACCCAGGGACTGTCAGCGAGGGCCTTGCTTTAAGGTGGCATGGTTTTGGTTTTTGGTTTTTGAGACGGGGTCTCACTGTGTAGTTCAGCTAGTGTTGAACTCACTATGAAGCCCGGGCTACCTCGGATCTCATGGTACTGCCCTGCCTCAGCCTTCTGAGGGCTGGGAATACAGTCATGACCCACCACGCCAAGCAAGAGCTGTGGACTGGAGGGTACATTTCCAAGGTCTCACCGGGCCCCTCTCTCTGAGGATACGGTTCAGCCCACCAGCTGATCACAAAACAAGCTTTTGGCCATGTGGCCACAAGGGCTTGGAGTTTATTTTACACATAGCCACAGTATTTTTGGTTCTGAACCAAATCCTTGTCTTAGTTACTTTTCTTGTTGCTGAGACAAAATACCTGACACCCAAGGTTAAAAGAGTAAAGGTCTATTTAGCTCAGTTCATAGAGGTTTCAGTCCATATGGGTTGGCTCCAGGGCAGGGTGGCTTGGCAGAGTAGCACCTCAGAGAACAGTCGTGGCACCCGCAAGGTAACAAAAGCAACCGGGTAGGGAGACAAGATTCTCTGTCCCTTGTGCTGCATTTGGGTTACCCACCCTAGGGCCGTGTAATACACCCTTAATCCTATGCTAAACCAATAGGTGGACTGATTTGTTAATCACACACCCTGGATCCCAACAGTACACACTCTAAATACAGTTTACTGCATGAAAAATCCCTGTTTACTGCAGAAGGCTTTGGGGGACACCTAGACACAACTCATAACAAGGCCTTTTGAAATCACATTAGAGGGAACTAAGTATATGCGGCACAGTGGTCGCCTCCATGGTGAAGTTCCCTTTCCTGTGACCAGGGACCAGAACCATGGAGCTGAGGGGACCTGGGTGGCCAGTGGATCTGGGGCTGCTCCTTTGCCTATGTGTGGTGGGACACAGATCCCTGGTCCAGAACCCCTGTTGGATGCCTGTGGGTGTGCATGTTTTCTTTACCCCCTCTGTTCTTTACGGAAGGGGACATTTGTCCTGCTGTTGACAGGAGCACTTTGCGTTTTGCCCTGTGTTGATGTCCCTTTCAGCTCAGCGGAGGAGCCAGGGAATATCGGTGCAGTGATTTAATCCTCAGCACAGCTCAGCATCATGTTAACCTGGGAGCAGCTAGACTTTTATTAAGGGAAAATAAATTCTGCCTGGTGATGGGCGTTTGGTGGCACGCTGTCAGCACTCAACACCAAGAGTGACATCTTACGGGTCTGATGCTTGTGTGTGTGCAGCCCCTGGCTGCTGCTCTCCTGTCCGACACCCTCTTCCCATATTCTGTCCATTCTCACTCAGCCCCTTGCCTTTCTTGTGGTCTCTGGAGGACACTGTGTACCCTGAGTGTCCTACAGAGAACACAAGTGTACCCTGAGTGTCCCCTTGCCCCCCCATATGTGCGTGGGACAGGGCTTCAAGACCCCGTGACCAATTCCAGTGTTGTCGGTGAGACAAGGGTTGCTTTAGAAAAACAGCAGTGCCAATTTTCATTGGCAGATTTAGACATTTTGTTAAAAACCAGAAACAGTGATAAAAAAGGGACATTGTGAAGATACTGCATACCCCTTAAAGGGCAGAATCCTGCACCCCATAGTTGCAGACTCACTCTGCAGGAGGAAGACCAAGGACTTCTGTCTTCACAGTGGTGATAGTGGCATTTGTCAAAAGCAGAAAATCAGTGGCAAAGAAAGCGAGACATAATAGCCTGTGCAGTGGGCTTTATCTGAATCCAGCCTAGTCAGGTTGGACAAACTGGTCAGCAAATGGGAAGACACTTCACATTATGAAAATGTTCACTTTGGGGGCAGTCAGTCCTCAGGGCGCTGGTAGGTCTCCTCCACCCCCATTGCACAGGAAGAAAGGCAGTGGGTGGAGGATGCCGTGTACCAGGCAGGGGGCGGCGGCCTAACAGCCAGACTGGGCTGGCGCGGCTGTCCCCAGGCCTAGCGTGGGTGTTAATGACCAAAGGAGAGCAGGTTTTGCTTTTTAAAATGGAACGTGTTTTTGTGTAATGGGTTTTTATACTAATTTGACACCTACTTTTTCTTTCTAAATATGAGAGGTCGCAAAATTTTGGAAGTGAACCGAGTCTTAGTTTACAGAGAGTTAGAGATGACCTTCACATTCTGCCCCCAGGGTATCTGCAAAATCAGGATTGTTAGAAATTATTGTTCTGGGTGAGCACTTAGGATTCCTCTGGCCTGATTTAAAACCCCATGACTTTTTAATGTGAAAGCACTGATTCAACTCCTGATGGATTTTCTGTAAATTAAACTTTTTAGGAGAAAGTCGTTGTGGAGTGCAGTGCAAGCCATTGAGAGAAATGACACGAGAGGTCCTGTGTTCCCTTTACCCAGCTTCCCGCATGGTGGGAAAATCACAGCATAGTCTGGGAGGCAGGGGATCTGCATGGATACAGTCAAGAGGCAGGACTTTTCTACCCCTTGGTGACCATCCTGCGGCCCCCACAGCCACGCCCACGTCCCCTCTCTTTCTCAGACCCCTTACTGTCACTGTTTTCCTCTCTATAGTCTTAGCATTTCCAGTATGTGTTTTGGGATTGGCTTCTCTCAGTCACCGTGATTCCATGGAGTCACCTAACCTGTTCGTGTCAGTAGATCTTTCAACCTTATCCCCGCACTGTGTTCCCTGGCTGTTAACCATCTGTGTGTTGAAGGACACGGGGGCTGTTTCCAATTCAGGGCCGTTACAGATATAGCTGCTATAATCATTTGTGTACAGGTCTTTGTGCAAATATAAATTTTAATTTCTCTGGATTGAATCCCAGTGAGTGCAGGTGCTGGGTCACGTGGGCGCTGCCTGCTGGGTTTCTTCCCCGAGCTGCTGTTTTTCCAGAGCCGCTGTGCCCGTTTCATTCCTGCAGGGGTTTGGTAGGGCTCAGGTCTCTCCACGTTCTCGCCACCATGCAGCATTGTCACTATCTGTGATCAGAGCAATTCTGCTAGGTGTGTGGTGAAGTCCCTTTGTGGTTGCGTGTGCCTCATGGTGGCTAATGACCTTGGACGACTGTCCTGCATTTGTTCTCCTTCTCTCCTTTTCCAGGAAACATCTGCGCATGCCTTGTCTAGTTTTTGATTGGCTTATTTTTTCAACTGTTGAGTCTTGACTTTTTATACTCTAAATGTAAGTCTTCTGTCGGATACATAGCTTGTGCATGCTTTCTTCTTGGCACTTTTCTTTTTGTCCTGCTCAGTTAGAATTTCTCAGTGCACAAGTTTGTGCCTTTAATGCTCCGTTTCTCCAGATTGCCTCCCGTGCTGAGCATTTCATAGCTAAGTCTGTGCTTCATGTTTGAGTTCATCTTCGAGTCAAAGGCGAGGCTTAGACAGAACCTCAGTCCTCGGTTGTGGATATCCGATCATCGCCGCTGCTGCTGAGTTTTCTGGGAAGACCGTCCTCCAGTTGCCTTGCTTTGTCCCGTGTCACCCTGGCATCGCGCTCTCTCCCACCATCAGTCTGTTCCTCCTCAGGAGTCACCTCAACCCCTGTTTTCTAGGGTACAGCGCCAAACAGGAGTTTCTGTTCCTGACAACCGTGCCAGAGGCGGGGAGGTTGGCAGAGGAGAAACACTTCCCTGGGGAACTGAAGGTGGGTACATGCCTGGTCCCCACCGACATGGGTGCAGTTGTCCTCAGGGAGCCCTGCATGGTGTCCCCATCCTCCACCTGTGCTGTCGCCTGCTGTAGCTTCCGTTTGTCACTGTTGCCTACTCATAGGCTGAACCTCCTGAATCCAGGGTGCTCCGAATCCCAGGCTTTCTGAGCGCTGACTTGAGCCCGCTGGTGGGTGATTCCATAGCACCAAGCTTTGGATCGTATATAAAATTGTATAAAATATCTCACACAGCGACTTTTAGGTTGTGTATCCAGATACACATGAAGCAGAATTTCGTGCTTGGGCAAAGAGCTCTTTAGGTATGCACAGATATTCCAAAATCCACAAACACAGTGGTCCCAAGCATGTTGGATGAGGAGGACTCAGCTGTGGCTGCTTGTGCTACTTTTGCTTATTTATGTTCACCTTTTAGCTTCCATTTGGGGAGGCGGGCAGCCACATTTGTCTTCTAGTCCTTGTTCCTGGAGGCTCTGTAAAGGTTTCACTCATTTCCTGGCCAGCTGAGCAGGCGCCTCACCAGAGAAGGGGAGCTCACTGGGCGAGGTTAGGGGAAAACTGGGACTATGGAAAGGTGTCTCACCCAGAATCCTGGGACTCCGGAGAGCAGGGGCCTCTGAGCGGCATGGTTGGAGGAGCCCAGCCTGAAGGAAAGGCTGAGGCTTGAGTCGTAAGAGGTCACAGGCAGAGCCCAAGGCAGCCACCTTCCCCAGCGCTCGCTGCTGTGACCTCAAGCTCCTGAAGGTCATTCTCACCTGCTGACCCCTGTCCTGAGACCGGGAGGTGGAGGTCAGGACTGCCAGAAAAAGTGAGATGGGTCAGGCCAGCTCTAAAGACAAGGACTGGAATTAAAGCAAGCTGTCCATGGCTCACAGTGCAAGGTGGCATCTCGGAGCCCTGCAGGATAGAGAACATCCCTTAGCGGAGCAGGGCAAGGCTGGGCTGTGCCTTTACGGGTGTTGGTGTGCCAGAGGACCAAGCTGCAGAGCTCTTTGAGATGCCCAGGAATGATGCTTCTGCTGGAGGCATCCAGGGCAAGAGAGCCCCGAGGGCTTATGGAGATGGGGGATGACAGCACCGCAGAGAGCAGGAGGGGCTTCAGTAGGATAGGCCGAGGAAGCCGGTGTTCAGCGTACCACAGAGGTAGGGTGACAAGGTCCTTGAGAACATTGCAAAGAAACAGTCTGCATCCCAGTGGCCTGCGGGACCAGTCCTGGGTAGCTTTATGTGTTTGCTGGTGGGGGGGGGGGTACAGGAAAATGATGCTACTTGATGAGGAATTGAATGAGAAGTTTCTGCTTTGCATTGAATGTATGAGCTCAAGAAAGGTGACGTTTGCCAGGGATGGAGGCTTTATGTGAATTCCTAGGAGCTTGTTTGGAGGTGCCATCCCCGGTGCCCGCTCTGCATCTCAGATCAGTTTGGGTTTCAGGGAGTGTTCGGGGAAGACACTCAGGTAGCAGCAGAAGCATTTCAGAGATTCCTGGGCCACAGGTTGAGGGGGCTTGGGGGAGCAGCCTCAAGGCCTCGGTCCGCTCCCTGGAAGACCGACTGGCACCTGGGGTAGACACACCACTGCGCTATGAGCCGCAGAGGAATTCTAACTTGCCCTGCAGCTGTGTGCTCTGGCGTGTCCCCTTTCCATCCCTTCTGCTTTTCCCTGTAGCACCCCTACACAGATGATCACTGTCCCATGTGTGTCCCTAAGCTGCCACCAAGACTCAGCATGCAGCTGTGGGCTGAGTGCCAGCGCAGAGCCAGAGGAGCTGGGATGGAGCATCGGCCAAAGCCCCTAGAGCCTGGGGACATTCTTCCAGCTGCCACAGGGCTCTGTGTGTGCACTGTACTTTGGGAGGGATTTTTTTTTTTTTTTTTCCGTAGGCTCAGGTTGCCTTAAGGTCAGGTCTGGTAAGGCATGAGGATCTGGGGATTGAACCACAGTATCCTATGCCTGACTGTGTTTGCATAAGCAGGCACTTAAACAACTGAGCTAACCGGCAGGGGCCCTATTGAGCTTCCTCATCTTTTCTGGTTTTGAATTTGGGCTTCTCTCTAAAAGGAAGTCACACTGCCCTGGCCGTGGTGCTGATCCCTGTCTGTCATTCAGTACGGCAGTGGAAGGGGTGCGGAGGGGCTCCGAGGCTTCCAGAAGTATCAGGAAGAGGTGGTTGTCACTCTGTAGAAACAGGAGGAGGGAAGAGAGTGTGCTGACAGGAGAGGCTCCTGTGTCCTCCTATCCATCCCTGGTCCCTTTCTGCTCCTTGTTGCCTGCAGCTGACGGGAAAGATGCTTGGGGACAGCCGGCCCGTCCAGCCCCTGGTCTACCTGGAGCGCCTGGAACTCATCCGGAACGTGTGCAGGGACGAGGCCCTGAAGAACCTCTCGCACACGGCCGTCTCTAAGTTTGTCCTGGACCGAATATTTGTGTGTGACAAACACAAGATTCTTTTCTGCCAAACTCCCAAAGTGGGCAACACGCAGTGGAAGAAGGTGCTGATTGTGCTCAATGGTGCGTGTGCTACGTGCCGCGGGCGGTAATCATGGGTTCTGTCTGGTAAAGTCTGTTTGGAAAGGAACTATGCTCTGACCCATAGCCGAAAGACGCCTGGTCCACAGTCAGCCTGGTGTCCTGGGGTTCCTGACCCCTCCCTGTCCACAGCTCCCGAAGCAGCTCTCAGAGTTGCTGGTCAGTGTTGGCCCCATGCCCTCTGCAGGTACTGTGGTACTGTGGGGAAAATACAGCAGCATGCAGGGCTTGGGGACAGAGGACAAGGAGCATAGAGACAGGCTCACAGGTGGGCACTCACGGTGGAAGCATCCTAAATCAAAGAGGAAGTAAACGCCCACTTACCAGGGTGGGCAGGAGCAGGCTCAGGCCACAGTGTGTGTGCCTGAAGAGAAACCACTTGTGTCAGATAGATGCCCCAGAGGGATTCTTCCGTGCCAGGACGGCACGGTGGGCAGGGGCTCGGGCGTGGCTGAATCCCTCCTGACACTCTGGCTCTCTGCGCCCATTTGTCCACAATGCCCACCCTAGGACTGATGCCCACCCTGGTGCCCTGCTGCAGCCTGGCCGCAGCTCAGAATGACAGAGCGTGGCTGCTGATGCTGCCCACTTCATGGGACACACCTGTCCCCACTGTTTCCTGTAGACTGTGTGCCCATAGGTACAGCTGGATTTTTCCCAACATCAAACACCTTTGCCTCTCGCTGGCCTGGGCTGACCAGCGGGCTCCTCCAGACCACTGCTAGCCCAGGGCTGGGGCTGCGAGGGCCCAGGCTGCCGGCAAGACAGGAGCAGCGGCATTGCTGTGGGTACTGCATCCAGCCCTGTCCCTCCAGTGTCTCCCAATGGTCAGAGGAGAGTAGGTGTTCCTAGTTTTAGGAATTCTATTCATAGGCCTTGAGCTTTCTTCCTATTTTTTGTATTTATTTTGTGGTACTGGGGGTTGAGCTCAGGATCTTCACACTGAAAAATATCTTCAGCCCTTTAATTTGGAAACAAGGACCTGCTAAGTGGCCTAGGCTGGGCTCAAACTTGGGGTCCTCCTGTGTCAGCATCCCAGAGTGCCGAGCCAGATGCCCTGCCAGAGCAAGGTGCTGTCGGTATTTTACCCTGCTCCCTCCGCTTCTCCCTCCCCAGCATCCTTCTCTTCCTCCGCTTGGTTGAGGGTTACCTGGTGTTTGTCTTCCCCTCTCCTCACTGCCAGCAGGAAGAGCTGGAACTCAGGGGGCAATGGTGGATGTTGGGGATGGACTTGTCACTGGTGCCCTGGGGAGCATGGGGACTGAGGTGGTAGCTTTGCTTAGAGGCTACTGGGACACCAAGGTGCCTCTGCTGTTTCCCTCCCAGGAGTCTTTCCGTCCATCGAGGAGATCCCAGAGAATGTGGTACACGACCATGAGAAGAACGGCCTCCCACGCCTCTCATCCTTCAGTGAGGCTGAGATCCGGAAGCGGTAAGAGCAGGATCTGCAGCAGGAGCCAGGGTGTGTGCAGAGCCTGAGAAGAGGGGCAGCGTGCCCTCGGCTTGGCTCCTGCTTGCTGCAGCCTGGGCCCTGCCTCGCTCTGAGGAACATGGATGGGGCTGCTGGCCTGGCTGTTGAGCAGCCCCAGGTCTGGGCCTGGCATCCTGAGGTGTGGACCTGAGCCCTCAGTGAGAATCTCAAGGTGCCTTTTCCAGCCTTACCATCATGTCTGCCAATACTTATCCTGTCAATAGGAATGAGTCTGGATATGCTGGTACAGGCCGATAATCCCAGCACTCGGGGGGCTAAGGTAGGAGGATCAATCTGTCTCAAAATGAGAAATAAAAATGGCTGGGGATCTAGCTCAGTACAAAGGCCTTGGAACCCTAGCACTGCAGAAAAAGAAGGGATCAGTCCTGGCTTACTCAGAGTTCTAGACTTAAAAAGTTCTCAAAGGTTTGAGTTATTCCAGTCATTAAGAAGACAGTGACCACACAGAGTCTTTCCAGGGAATCCAAGCAAGAGTATCATGGCTGAGAACAGTTTTCTGTGCTGCTGTTTTCTCACATCTGTGCCAAAGTCTGAGGAAGAGAGGTGTGGACCCAGCAGGGCTTGGCCTCCTCAGGCTTCCATGGGTAGGGAATGTTTCACTGTCCTTCTATCTCAGTTATTTTCTCATTGCTGGTACAAATACCCAACACTCACAAGTTAAAGGAGACAAGGTTTATTGTAGCTCTCAGTCTGTAGAGGTCTCAGTTCACAGTTGGACTGGCTGCGAGGTCCGGTGTCTTGGCAGAGGGACCTGGCGGGGAGGAAACAGTCCATGGCTGGTAGGCAGGAAGGAGCGGAGCCTTATTTCTTTCCAAGTCTACCTGCCTATTTGTTGGTGCCACCCGCCCCCAAGGGGGGTCTTGCCTCTTCATCAGATCCATCTTTCACACCCAGAACTATATTAAACCCATTGATGAACTGATCCAGGGTCACACCCTCGTGGTCCAGCATCCCATACCCGTGGCCAGTCACTCACCTGTGCGTGCTTGTGACTTTGGGGGCAACAGCATCTAGAATTAAGCCGTGACACACTATTGTGGCTTCTAAGAGCATTGAGCTAAGCACCTGTTCTGCTTTTACTTTTCCTCAGGTTGAAAACATACTTCAAGTTTTTCATCGTGAGAGATCCTTTCGAGAGGCTCATTTCTGCCTTTAAGGACAAGTTTGTGCACAACCCCAGGTTTGAACCTTGGTACAGGCATGAGATTGCCCCGGGTATCATCCGGAAGTACAGAAAGAACCGGACAGAGACCCGGGGGATCCAGTTTGAAGATTTTGTACGCTACCTGGGCGACCCAAACCACAGGTGGCTTGACCTTCAGTTTGGGGACCACATCATTCACTGGGTGACATATGTGGAATTGTGTGCACCCTGTGAGATCAAGTACAGTGTGATTGGACACCACGAGACGCTGGAGGAGGACGCCCCGTACATCCTTCGAGAGGCGGGCATCGACCACCTGGTGTCCTACCCAACCATCCCTCCTGGCATCACCACGTATAACAGAACCAAGGTCCAGAGCTACTTCCTGGGCATCAGCAAACGGGACATCCGGCGCCTGTATACACGCTTCGAGGGGGACTTCAAGCTCTTTGGGTATCAGAAACCGGATTTTTTGCTGAACTAGTATGTAGGATCTGTGAATGCAGGTGTCTCTGTTATCACAGGGGATAACAAGGTGGAGATCTGAGCGCAGGAAGGACTCTTCTCATCACATCCCTGCCTGAGGGGCTCCCTCAGTATTTGGTCCTGAGAGCAAGTGGGCGGTACCTGGCAGCTCCACCTGGCTCAGGTGTAAGATGCTGAGGGCTCCATCCACCTGCCCTGTATCGTCAGGACCCTAGTGACCTTTGCCATTTCCCAGAAGAGATGTGATACAGTGTCAGTTGTCTAAGTGGGAGTCACACCTGTGGCTGTCCTGGCTGGACCCAATGGCTACCTTTGTCACTAGTGGAGGGCAAGAACAGAGGGCACCAAACAAAGGAGAGGGAAAAACTGAGGCACAGCAGACACACCCGAGGCTCATGCAGGATCAAATGTGGGTGATGAAATGATAGCTCTGACTTCCCCTTGATACTGCAGTAATCACGGAAGCAGACCACATTCCCATGATGGTCAGTGCAGACCACAGAGTGGTCCCAGGGGTCCATTTGCTCAGTGCCACTTTGTGGGACACTTGTCCTCATTACTGAAGCTCTGTGCCGAGTGTCCCCTCACTGAGCATAGTTTTGGGATGTGAGGAGGGAGGAGATTCCTCCTAAGCAGGAAACACCAGGGCCTGAGAGGGAGCATGGCGCAGGCAGCTGCTGTGGATGGGTCGTTGTGCCCTGCCTTGCACGCTTCCTGCTGTGAGTTACCATTGAGTTGGGCAGCAGCAGGGCTTCCACACCTCCAGCATTCCCTCTTCTCGAACATCTGCCGTGTGATGGACCAGCTGGAGGAAACCAGACATTGGGGACAGCATGACAGCATCGTAGGGTTCGTCGGCCTCAGCCATCCTAACACCACTCCTTTTCATCTCCACAAGGTGGCAAAACCCAAACCCTTTTCTAATCATGCTATCATCCTGGGTAAAGTGGAAGGAGTTGGGTAACCACATTTACCAGCAATAAAGCCTCCCGTGAGGTGCCCTGCAGGCACAGAGGTAGCCCCGTATGGAGCAAGCCACTGTGGCTATGCCAGACCTTGCTGCTGCAGACTGTGTCCCCAAGAGCTGGTGGCACTCCTGTCTACTGTCCGTGAGCCCAGGCTGAGAGGAGGGAGCTGGGCTGCCTCACCCTTCTCAAGACGGCTTCCTGAATTTGTAAATGTGAAAGTGAACTAAAACTTAAAATATGTGCCAATCCAGACATGTGCTGCAGCTCCAGGGAGAGGGGCTCTGGATCATGTGTGACCCCACCCCCAGGCCTGGCGACAGGGACAGGACTGGACGGAAGTGAGACTCGACCCTTCCTCCTCAACTGTTATGCCAAGGATGTGACATCGAGTTATTTTTCTATAAAGTTTCAGTGAAGTCTCATTAAAGCTAATCTGGACCTGTGAGCTGACCGATTACCTCTTTCCAGTTTGAAAAGTCAGTGTGAGAAATGTATGTGAATTTAAGGCCTTAAAGTTAGTCCTAATTAAAATAGCTTTTTCTCTGGAAGCAAAAGGTTGGTATGTGGATTGGCTTTGTGTCTATTTTGTCCCTCCCCTGTGCCACATGGATCGTTTTCCTGAAATCTTTTAACAAATAGAGGTTGCTATCAGAATACATCGTGGACATTTTGATGTGTCCAGCGCAAGGCCACATTGGCCTCTGGCTCCTGGCCACACGACCTGGGCATTGCTTCCAGAACAGTGCAGCCTGTCACCCCTCTGCAGAGGTCTGGGATCTCTTGATCCTGCAACCTTGAGGCAGGCATCCTTCCGCCTCACTCCCCACAGTTCCTGGCACAAAGCTGGCCCCCCCTGCCCTCAAGCAGTTTCCTCACACCTTTGCCAATCTTAGCTCTTATGGCTCAGAAGGGATTGATGCTCCAATCCCTGTGGAGCGGCAGACCCACTGGGGTGGCTGAGTCATCCCACAGCTCAGAGGGCGGCCCTGCCTCTGGCTTGGTGCGACCTCGCTCCAGAAGGCCGCTCTCACGTTTCTGCCTAGCACTGGCTTTCCTTTTGCAACAGGCAGAAGCAGCCTCGCCAGTCTGGGCCAGCAGCGGTTGCAGCAGCTCTACTGACCTTTCTCGGGAGCTGGTAAATGCTTGCGGCCTTCTGTCTCTTTCCTGTCCCTGTCAGTGCTGGATGGCGATGTGCTGCCAGCGTGACCGCTTCCACCGGTTTCTGTCCACTTGGTGGAGTAGGACGATGCTTCACATGCTGGCCTCTTATCAAATGGCTGGCCAGCCACATCTGTGGTGTTGTCTCTGAATCTGCTTTCTCGTTTTGTCATATGAGCAGGCTGAGAATGATCCAAATCTTTAGTCTTGTTCTGTTTTGCTTAATAATTCAGCCTTGAAGTCATTTCTTCCTCCATTTTGCTATTCAGAACTTTTCAACTTGCCATGTGGTTTACTGTAAGTTGTAAAAAAAAGATCCTATATCAAAGATACATTTCTTACACCTAACCTACTGAGCGTGATAGCTTGGAGGTGCGGCACGCAGGAGTCTCGGTTGCTTCCCCTGTGATTGTGGGCTGGGAGCCATGGTTCGCTGTCTCTGCCCAGATCGCATATGGCCGAGTTGGAAAAAGATCAAATTTCAAAGCACAGTTTCTGCTACATACGTATTGCTTTCACAGGATCGTAAAATTTGAAACTCTTGAGTTGAATCCTTGTAAGCATCTGTGCCAGCAGTTGGAAGGAACTGGACGCATCTTCAACACGTGTCTGGAAATTTCAGCTAGAGATCCCATTGCTTCCCTCGCGAGTTCTCCTTTCCAAAAACACTAGGACACGAGCACAGTTCATCCCATTCTCTACCCGTTTAGGGCAGTGATTGATTTTCCTGTTTCCAAAAACATGCTCCTAAAGCCTCTGCAGAACGTCCTTTCCCCCGCACCTTCCTCACCTTCTGTTCAGGATGCTGCATTCTCCAAGGAGATGGACATGACCTGTTCTCTGCGCCTTCGTAGGCCATCCCTAGAATCATCTTTCATGCCCATATTTCTAGCTCGCACCTCAAAACTCCAGCCCCTATGCATAGCCCTGTGCCAAAGTTGCTTCTGTGATTTTAGATGTTTGTTTCAGCAACATCCCCTTGCTCAGTTCCAATGTCTTGGTCTGGTGGTCTTGAGCAATCGTAAGATGCCAGAGACTGCGTCTACACAAAAGAGATGTATTTCTGACAGGTTCAGTCTGGGAAGCCGAAGACCAAGGTGTCAGCAGGTTGAGTTCTTAGTGAAGTTCTGTGTTGGCTGGCAGAAAGCAGCCCTGCTGCGCTCCTGTGTGGCAGTGTGTGCTCTGGTCTCCCTTCTGAGAGATTCCAGCACCCATGGGAGGCCCAGCCTCGTGTCCTCCCCTTCCCCTAATTATCTCCTGAAGGCCCCACCTCCACGCCCACTGTACGGATTGGGAGTCGTGTACTTAGGGGGACACAAACATTTAGTCCATAACCCTGGTCCACAGGACAAGGACCCTCCATTTACCAATGTAGCTCCCAAGCCTAAGGACTGAAGGTGCTCCTACTGTTGAGCTGACTTGGGGCCCATGTACGGAGCATGGCATTTTCTACATGGACACTGGCCAGCCCCTCAGCCACCCTTGTGCACCCCAGTGTGGCCGCAGCAGCCACGGAATTCCTCACCACCCCCACGCCTGCTGCCAGCATTCCAAGTGGGGTCAAGCTATGATCTGAAGCCACCTCAACCTGCATTGCACTCCCGGAGCTCATTTTCTGTCTTCTTTATCTCAGTTTTTGAGGCTGGGGAGGCTAAAAGAACACTTCCTCTCACCCACCTTCACACACACATATGTTGCCCATTTCAAAATGCCTCTCCTACTGTTCATTCCCTTTTTCTTAGAAAAATGGCCAGTGTAAATGAACATCAACCATTGTTACTTTGTCATCTTAAGACTGTAGCATATGCTTCATAGCCTTTTGTATATGTGAGCAGAGCCGATCTTTGACCCATGGGCAGCTTCGCTGATACCAGGTCACGCTGCTGTGGAATTTAGGCTATGGGTTCATTTCAAGCCAAATGAGTCGGTTCTGCTGCTTTTTATGTCCAGGAGGGCCACATGAGCTTCTCCAGGGCCAGAGACTGGAAGGAAAAGAGAAATGTAGGCTTCCCAGCCAAACCCAAAGGAGCAGGACGGAGGAAAGGACGCACGGCTGCCCCTTCCATGCCATTCCTGCTCATGAAATCTGGCTGCGCACAGAGTAGAAGCAGTGTTCGGGCTGGCTGAGCGCTCCCCCTCAGCACTGATTCAGAGTCCTCACAAATCTTGCCGACAACCCACGTGCCAAGAAAAAGAGCCTGCCTTTTGGCTTCCTTCTAGACCCCCTAAACAAGTGACAGGCTTGGAGCACTGAGCTACACTTAAGAGGCTGCATTTCCTAAAGGGACAATTAGTATTCCTGACTCTTCCTAAGCATACTTGCACCAGCAGCTTTGGGTGGAGTTTTGGAATCGGGTTGCGGTAAACCTAGAGTTCCCTCTGGTGGTTCCGTGGCTGAGCTCCTGATCTGTTGCTCAGATCCTGAAGTGGGCCATGGACCTGCGCCTTTCAGAACCGCAGACAGACCTGAAGATGCACCCAACATTCTTTGCCTGGGCTTCAGATGTAATGCAGAGCTGATTCTACCTACCTTTCCCCGGTCGGGCTTCCTGCCACCCTAGAGGGCCCTGCTTTCTCCGGAGCTTTCTAGCATCTGTCGCCTACTGCTCCCCGCCCCTTGGCAGAGGCCTGACTCATGGACCCTCAATAATGCTGTTCTTTTGCTGCCCGCATTTGGTCATGAGTGATTTAAACTAATGAGATGGTTTATATCAGTAGGTCCCCCAAAGCCTCATGCACACATAGGTGGGGCTCTGGGGGAGGAGATGGGGTCACCAGGGGTGATGCTCATCAGGGGATGAGTCCACTGGTGAGTTTATAGCCGAATGGGATCCTGGGAGGAGGTGGTCACTGGGGCGTGGCCTGGAAGGGCCTAGCTTCCCCTCTCCTCCCTTGATCTGTCTCTGCTTCCTGTCTCAATGCCGTGAGCTCTTTCTCCTTGGCAAAGCCCCCTCTGTCTTGCCACCCTACCTCGGAGCCAGCTGACAACAGACTAAGCCTCTTTTTTTGGTGTGGCTGGCTCAGCGCATCCTGGGGGTGGGGCTGGTGCAGCATGTAATGCCCAGGATTGAACCTGAGGCCGTGCACACTTGCCTAAGCTTGCCTAAGCAGGCGCTTTAGACCACTGAGCTATCTCACTGGCCCTGAAACCTCTCTTATGGGGTGTCAGGCATTATGTCCAAGCCCAGAGAAAATAGCTAAGACAACTAGCATGGCAAAAGTTCATTCCTAATCAGTAAGTCAGCTCAGTAAATGTCAAGTTTGGTTATCAAAATTGCTTCTAGCTTTTTAGGAGAGACTCTTAATGAACCTGGGCTGATATTGTTTTAAAAAAGGACTTCTGTCTTTTGCTCTTCAACTTAATTTACATAATTTATGAACCATGCGTTTTATCTTTTGTAAATATACAGTTATATGATCTCTAGTAAATGAAAAATTATGTAACTATTACGGCAATTTTGTCTGTCCCCTGGAAAACATTGCCCAAATGCCCGTTTGAGGTTAACCTTCTGCAAGATATCTACTGAGCTATCTGTCTCTATAGTTTTGCTTTTCGCAGCATTCCTACAGCAGTCCTGCAATACGGCACATAACGCTTGTGCAGGCCTTCCTTCCCTTAGAGCAGTGACAGCGAACCCTTTAGCGACCAAGTGCCTGCTGCAACCCCACGTATCGCAAAATACCAACACTGCAATTAAACCTGGACACTGAGGTTTTAGTTTAGGGGGAAAAAAAACATTATCTGATGTTTAGCTGCTGGTGACTTGGTTTGAGTGCCAGTAGAGAGGGCGCTGTGTGCCAGAGGTTCGCGACCACTGCCTCGGAGTACACAGTCTTTAAGGTCATTGTATCGTTACACCTACCACTGTCAGTTCCTTTTGGTTACTGATTAGTATTCCCTGCTAAGAAAACACCACGTTTTGTTCATCCAGGTGCAATTTGATCAACACCCATGTTATTTCCTTTGTTTGGCTCTATAAACACTGGTGCTGCGCACACTTGCACGTAAGCCCTTGTGTGGACAGCTGCCATTCCTTCTCTTGACTACATGTCTATGTGTGGAATTGCCTACATCACAGAGTGTGTTTAGTGAAAAGAAAAATCAGTGCGATGGGGCTGGGGAGATAACTCAGTGGCATTAGCACCTGCCTGGCAAGTGCAAGGTCCCAAGTTCGATCCCCAGTACCACACACACACACACACACACACACTATATATATATATATATATATATATATATATGTATATATCAGGCTTTGAGAAAGTTTGAAAGGGGAAAAAGCAGGCCCAGCATGTATGTTATATAGAGAATAAAAGAAATATCCAAGGCAGAATACACTGAGAAACTATCTGGACAATACAGATAATAATAAAAAACACCACATATA